TGTCTCCCTTCCTATATGCTGCAGTTCTCTGTGCTGCGTTAGCCGTGTAACATCAATAGACTGTATGGCATAGTACTTCGGCTGCATAAAGATCTACTTCACTACATGGTACGCAAGACATCCTCTCAAAAGTGGTGCTAAATTCGTTCGAGGGTATTGAGCAGATACAACAAGGGCTGCTAAACGTGTCAAAGCGATTGACAGTAGGAATACCGCAGGACTCGTCTCTGACAAAGCCGACTGAACAGACTGTTGCGGGACGTCGCTTCCAAATCTATCGAGTGGTCTACCAACAAAACAAAGGTTTATAGCTAAGATTGCAACGGGGTTGAGCTGACCCCAAGCTAATGTTGGTGCCAAGGGGGCTAAATCAGTCAGCTGAACCGGTGAGACCTATGTGTGCGCTCAGCCGCAAGCCAATCTCGGATAAAGTGGTGCTTCGTCTGCACTCAGCTACGGTAGTAGCCGCCGCATATGCATACGTGTACAAGAAATGCCATGGAAGACTGACGGCTGGAGTAATCAAGATGATTTAGCGGCAGTACACTGTCAGGAATACAAAGCAGTGCTATTGTCTCATGAAGAAGCGTTGAGTACACTAACACAGATCATAACGGAGACATTAGCGCGATGGCCACTATCGTGCTATGCATCCAACACTGAAGACGTCGTCTAGCTCGCATATCTCCCAGTAGAAGATCTTTAGACAACGCGATAGAAGACGAAGAACAAACACGCTCATGACCGCTGTAAATGCAATACAAAACAACTCGCTCGAACGCTTCGCTACAAAAGACAGACAGGAAACAACAAATTAAGCCTCCGAGATGTAATCGAGGAACGACAGCATGCATGGCCGTGAGATGAGACGCGTACAAGAGAGAGTTAGGAAAACGCAAGCGGGTGTCCTCAAACGAATCTAGTCGTGATAATATCCCGTTGAGAAAGAAATGTAATGATGGAAGGTACGAACAAGCGTACACATGGGGCGAACAGCCAGGTTGGTGCTGGTGTTAACAACACCTGCCACTCTTGCTCTTCTGCGCCCGATTGATGTCTTCTTCCCAATCTTGCTGATGTCCAGCGACGTTGGGTGTAGTAGGGAAGCCCAGCCAGCTTCGCCTCTTGTCACCAGTGCCTAAGCGGAAGCTTCCATTACCCGTTCCAGGGTAATCGAAGTATCCAGCGACATTCCCGTTGTTGTCCATGGCAGGGGTGACACCAGCCATGGCGTATTGCCGTTGTTCTTCCTCGAGCTTCTTCTGCTGCTGTTCCACCAGCTTGCGAGTGATGACGCGAAAGACTTCGTCTACACCCTCGCCATCTTTGGCGCTGATCTCGTGGCAGCAGTCCCAGCCCAAGTCTTGTCCCCAGAAGCCGCTCGATCGGTTGCTCTGTGGTGACGCCATACCGCTGTGGAAAGCTGCCGGTACAGAGCCATAACCGCTTGCTACGGCACTGTGTGGCTGTCCGTTCTGTGTGGGGTGGAGGTTCTCGGCGACGTATTCGATGCAGCGCTCAAAGGGTACTCTGCGCTTGGTAGGGTCTTCGGCTACAACGTCTGACTTTGTTCCTACAACATGGAGGATCACGTCCTCTCCAAGGTTTGTCTTGAGTTCCTTGAACCAGCGGCCCATCTCCTCGAACGAATATGGATCGGTGATGTCGTAACATAGTACTGCAGCATTTGCGCCTAGAAGAAAACGTTAGTTCTGCGCTGAAGGTTTGCTGATAGTAGACGATCCGAACTCGGCTGCCGAATGTGGGGTATCCAGATAGCGGAAAGAGACCCGATGTGTATCGCGACAGAAAATACTAGTTGGTCTGACGAAAGGGACGATAGTAACGTACCCCTATAATACAGCTTGGATATGGACCGGAAGCGCTCCTGGCCCGCGGTATCCCATATTTGTAACCGAACCACTGTGGAGGTGTCGATATCCACAACCCTCTTTGTCAAGAAGGAAGCACCCACGGTGGACTGTGTCGTGGGAGGCGTAAAAGCGTTTTTGACATATCGGTGGACGAGAGAAGTTTTTCCAACTCCTTGGCTACCGAGGACCACGATCTTTGCTTCCAGGCTGTTGGACATGTCGCCGTATTACGCCAAATCTATTTGTATACGTCGGTGTTGGCGGTGCAGGGATGGGGCGGCAGGCGGTGTTGTGGGGTCGGCTCAGATATGCGCGGTCGCGGTGCCTCGGAGCAAGAAAGAAAGGAAATGCGTGGGAGGCGGCGGGAGAACAAGTTGCATGGCGAGCAGTGAGAAAGAGTCGCCGGCAGATGTGAGAAGAGGCAGAGGATTGACGTAGAGGGTATCTGAGAATATTAGGCAGGAGGTGAGTGCCCGAATGACAGCCCAGCTGCGTTTGGCGCTTGCACCGATTCTCTTGGCTAAGGGAGCCATGTGACAGGCGCCTCAAGCCAATGTGAATCAGATCTGAGAAGGGTGCGTCCCAGATGGGAATATGAAAGCCCATCGTGATCGCAGCCCTGGGGACTGATAATCATCCAGGGGGATGACGCGCCATGTTGATGCTGTGTGTCGGGCAGTCAACAATGCACGTCATGCCCAGCCAGCTGTCTCTTCCCCGCGTTTCGGAGCAGCACGGAGTCTTCCACGCGACCGACGAGAACGTTAATACCTACCCCAACTAAGCTCCCTCGACGAACGACAGTCCCTGGCCGACACATATATCCTCAAGAAAACCGCCTGCGAAGGACCGAGACGGCATGCCTAATGCGACAAGCCCGGAATCGATCTCGCCTCGACCTCATGAGCTAGGGTGCTAACTCAGATGCGTCTCCGCGACCAGCATCCGAAGCCCGCGGGGATGAATGTACCGAGCTATTACCCCAAACATGCTGCCGTCACCAACCTGGCCCTTCCGCTCGTCCAAGCCCTCTAGTGTCTGGAAATAACCTAGATCGGCTCCATATATTTTCTGGCCTATCTTCGCGTCTTGATTACCTGCCCTTCAACATTTCGCGCTCGACACACCGCCGCCACGATGAACCACGACAGCAACAACACCCAGAAGGTGAAGCTCACCGGCGAGCAGGTCGCCCAGCACAACAACGCCGAATCATGCTGGGTCATTATCCACGGCCGCGCCTACGATGTCACTGAGTTCCTGCCCGAGCATCCCGGAGGCCAGAAGATTGTCTTGAAGTATGCTGGCAAGGACGGCACCGAGGCGTTCGAGCCAATCCACCCGCCTGACACGCTTGACAAGTATCTGGATAAGTCCAAGCACTTGGGCGAGGTGGACATGAACACCGTCAAGGAAGAAGCGAAGGAGGTCGATCCAGATGAAGAAGCGAGGCAAGAGCGCATTGCGCGCATGCCCATCTTGGAGCAATGCTACAACCTGATGGACTTCGAGGCCGTCGCGCGCAAGGTCATGAAGAAGACGGCATGGGCATACTACTCCAGTGGTGCAGACGATGAGATTGTAGGTCTATTCTGACAACCACTGCGATCGCTTGAACTGACTTTTAATAGACACTACGAGAAAACCACAGCGCATTCCACAAGATCTGGTTCCGACCACGCGTACTCATCGACGTCGAGAAGGTCGACATGTCCACCACAATGCTCGGCACCAAAGTCGACATACCCTTCTACGTCACCGCGACAGCGTTGGGCAAGCTCGGTAACCCCGAAGGAGAGGTCGTTCTCACGCGCGGCGCACACAAGCACAACGTTGTCCAGATGATACCAACACTAGCGTCATGCTCGTTTGACGAGATCATGGACGAAGCAAAAGACGGTCAAGTCCAATGGCTGCAGCTATACGTGAACAAGGACAGGGAGGTCACAAAGCGCATTGTGCAGCACGCCGAGAAACGTGGCTGCAAGGGTCTCTTCATCACAGTCGATGCACCGCAACTCGGTCGTCGCGAGAAAGACATGCGAAGCAAATTCGACGATGTCGGCAGCAACGTCCAGAGCACCGGCGGCGACAATGTTGACCGGAGTCAAGGCGCCGCACGAGCCATCTCGTCCTTCATTGACCCGAGCCTCAGCTGGAAAGATATCCCGTGGTTCAGGAGCATTACCAAGATGCCCATCATCCTCAAGGGTGTACAGTGTGTTGAGGATGTTATTCGCGCTGTCGAGGTTGGCTGTGACGGTGTTGTCCTGTCCAACCACGGTGGTCGTCAGCTCGACTTCGCTCGCTCAGGTGTTGAGGTACTCGCAGAGGTTATGCCAGTCCTTCGCGCACGCGGCTGGCAAGATCGCATCGAAGTGTACATCGATGGCGGTATTCGACGTGCGACAGACATCATTAAGGCTGTTGCACTCGGCGCCAAAGGTGTAGGCATCGGCAGGCCTTTCCTTTACGCCATGTCGGCATACGGTCTGCCAGGTGTTGACCGCGCTATGCAGCTGCTGAAGGATGAGATGGAGATGAACATGCGCCTCATTGGTGCTTCAAGCATTGCGGACCTGAACCCCTCGATGCTTGACACAAGAGGGCTTAGCATGCACACTGCTACCGTACCTCACGACACTCTGGGTATGAATGTCTACGACCCGCTCATTGGCCCTCAAGAGAGTGTTGTCAAGGAGAAGTCGAAGTTATAAAGGAGCTTGTGATTGTAATGTATATACATTTAGGCGCATCGCATTCCTTCAAATATGGTAAATCGATACTTACAGCGAGATCCCGTCTTTGAACGAGTCCAAACCCATTTGAACTCTCCACCCCTTCAACATGTGCCATCATTCACAGCCTTGCACCATCAAGTATGCTTATGTGGCATCCTTTGTCCGCATCGTGACTACGCGTAGACGCGTTCGGCGAGTGGGGAAGGAGCGCCCGGTGGACCTTCCGATCGTCAAGCGTCCTTGAACCACGGGTCGCTCTTTCCACTTCACTCGCAGCACGCCTCGACCACTCACATTATCGCACCTTATTATTTCACATATCCCCGCCTTTGGATCGCCTTCGCATGATCGCTTTTACTTTTTGATTATACCTTAATATTATTCCATGGGCGCTCCTGACGTTGCAGCGCAGCCCGGCGCTGGCTGGGACGAAGCGCAATGCACAGCAGCACTCGCGCAACTGGAGCAGCTCCAGGCGCAGGTGAGGATATCATGCCACATTCTCTGGATAACTCATGCTAATATGCGACAGATCAGCGACATGCGCCTAGCCATCCCCCGCATCATCGAGCCCTTCCACCGCCCTCGCAGTTCCGCGACGTATAAACTCTACGCGGACGGCGTACTCGGCTCCCAGAAGAACCTCGATGCGCTCAAGAGCCAGTGGAAGTCATCAGAAACCCAAAGCACTTTCGAACACGTCAAGCAGAGCCTCGGCGCAAATGCGGATCTGTCGGAGAGCGTCTCTGTACCTTCTCATGGCTGGACGGAAAGAGCGCGCAAGGCTAAGGAGTCGACGAAGAATCAGGGAGGGGAGAATAAAGAGGATACTGGTGCTATTGTCACTGACGAGGATATTGAGAGGATTGTGGTGGAATTTAGAAAGGCGCATCCGAATCTCAAGGTCGAAACACATGATGAGGATCGCAGCATCCAGACACGATTCGTAGCTGGCTCTCTGATGCTGAAGTTCCGCGTTGGCATCGAGCGCGACGCGAACGGACGGCACAGACTCAACGCAGAGTGTTTGGGGACAACGGAGCCCTTTTTGGCCATCACAAGATGTATTGCATCACGGCCGAACCCAGATGATTTGAAGTATCTTTTGGTATGTACATGGGATTTTGTGGCATGGGGATGTTTTGGGTGGATGCTAATTATTACAGGATATGATTGCTGCGTACAAGACTGTGAAAGGAACGTCGTGTGCTAAATGCAAGAAACTTCTGGATAATTCGGCGTTGACGCCTACTGCGCGACGAAGTAAACAGGTCGCTGGAACGACTGATGCTCTCGAAACCGTGTGGGAAGCTTTTCATGAAGGCTGTATCTGAACAGGCTTCTCCAGGGGACGATGTCTCATTGGAAATACAAATTTCTCCCGACATCGTTCTCGACTGGACCCCCGAGTTCCCATGGCAGATGTTGTGCATCCTGCCACCAAATCCCGTCCATGTGTCGAATAGCTTCGGGGAACGTATTGTAGTCCCTATTCTTGTATGGTTCTGATTGCCAGAGCGCATCCGTCCACATTCCAGGGTATCGCTTCACGTACTTTCTGGTCCGGAAGTCGTAGGCCTCTTTCCGTGAACGCCCACCGGACAACATCCCCCCTTCTGTCCAGGGAGCAAACTTCGAAGCACTGAAGCCGGGCTGGTGAGGGCCGTCGAGGTGGGTGTGCCTGGTCCATTGAGCTCGTGATGGACGCTTGGCCACGAAGTCTTTCGGATCAGCCGCACAGGTGACGAAAATGTCGGGGCCTTTGCCTTGGAGAATGTCTTTGAAGCGTCCTAGCTTGGTACCCTTTCTACCGTCTTTCGGCCAGATGAAAGCTTTCGAACTTTTCACATCATGTAGTTTTCGATTGTCATGATACCATCCATTGCGCAGATGCGGAAGACCTCGAAAGTATTGGGCGGGACCGTTGTGTCTCCATGGCTCGAAGAGAGGAAGACTGTAGCCTGGCGGATATGGCAGACGTTCGACCATATTGTCAGAGAAGTGTATCACTAGGAAGTGATGGCAGTGTTCCAAGATTATCTCGAGAAGTCATCGCTTTTGAAGAGCCCATGTCATCAGTCGTTTGCTAGCGCATATTGCAGAGTCAAGATCGTTATACACCGCATAGCAGAGGCTGAGCGTGTGTATAGTCGTTTGCGTGCCGCTACTACCTAGCATACAAAGTTTTATATCATTCGGTCATGCACCCGCTCGCATCTGGCTCATCTTTGAACTGCAAGGCGTGGCCATGCGCCTGCTGTGCCAACTTTCCATCGAGCATGTAAACCCTCTTCTCACCGGGCTGAGGTCAAGCATGTACGTGACGGAGATCGTATCTGAATCTAGTGATGCTTTGAGAGGACGAGATGGTACTAGTCCTTTCACACGACGCGGTACCTGAAAGACAGGGATCGCGAGGGTCCGAGCTCTCAAGCTTGAACAACGCGATCTCGTTTCTCCAGGTTTGTTTTCGGGACCATCAACAACACCGCCCAATACACCACCATGTCGCTTTTCGGCAATCTTGGAGGCTCGCAGCCCGCCTCTACTGGCGCATCTGGTGGAGGACTGTTTGGCACAGCAACCGGCGGATCAGGCGGTACTGGATCAAACTTGTTTGGCAACCTGGGAGGAGGCACTTCGAATGCGCAGTCTGGTACGACACAGGCACCAAGCTCTGGAGGCTTAGGAGGCGGACTTTTCAGTGGATTGGGCGGAGCAAAGCCAGCTACGACCACGACATCCTCCCTGTTCGCTGGCGCCGGATCGACTTCGCAGCCGCAAACACAAACGCAACCCAGCAGCCTTGGGCTGTTCAACAACACGGCGTCGCAATCAACGACCAACAACGCGCAACAAACGAGCGGATTCGGTCAATCGTCTCTCTTCGGCGCTACCTCGAACCAGCAGCAACCCCAACAACAGCAGCAGCAGCAACAACAGGGCACGTCACTGGCCCAGGCAAACGCTGGCACCGGTCGCTCAGCCCACTTCGATAATCTGCTCGAGCGAGGACGAAAGCGCAATGCTGGCGAGAATGGCACGACCAACTTTGACGAGCTGCCGTCCTTGCAGCTGGGCCTGGGAGACATCGCACGCAAGGTGCGCAACCTGGGCGCTGGGGGCCCTTCAGCCGACCAGGTCCAGGACCGCTCACAGGATCGCGCTGCGTAAGTTGAATCTGAATGCGACGTGTGACCACGTGCTGACTGCTTCCAGACACTACCTACTCTCCGCCTCAGGCGTCAAGATGGGTAGCACCCTCCGAGACCTCAACCAATTCTCCTCGCAGGGCGGACTCGCCGCACCCGGTCAGGCACAGAACCTCTTCGATAACGACGTTGACGGCTACATCTCCAACCTGCACTCGCAATCAACTCTGGCGCTTATTCAGGAAGGGCTCGAGCAATCCAAGCGCGACTTCGACACGTTCCTCGAGGACAATGTTCAGATTGAATGGGACAAGCAGAGGCAAAGGATCTACGAACACTTTGGGCTTGGCCGACAGAGCGAAGACATGGCAGCATCTCAGAGCGGCGCATTCGGCAGCACAGCTCGCGGAGCTTTTGGACGCGCAACAGGACGCAAGGGTCGTTCCATGGGTCCCAATGGTGCATCTGTCAACGGAAGATCGACCTTTGGAGCATCTGCTGCTGGACCGCCTGTTCTGGGTGCTTCCCAGAGCGTTCTTGGTGGGCGCGATTTTTCCGACAAGTCGGTCATGGGCGGACAAGCTGCTCCGCAGGATCGATACGCTCGTGACAAGCAAGAGAGGTTTATGGAAGAGGTCAAGAAGCTCAACGAGTCCAGGCTGCGGGAGAGTCCATTCTCGGTACTTCATGCGTTCTCTGATGTAGAGAAGGCTGCCGGTACAGAATACTCGGAGCAGTTCACACGCGCCTACGGAACGCTCATCTCCATCACCGGCGAGAAGACCGAACTCGAGGCATCCAACCCTGGCTCGAACCAACCGAAAGAGCGAAGTTTCGCCAGAGACTACCTGGACGAACAATCAAACTCTGCTGCTAGCGTTCGCATGCGCAAGCGCATACTCGACGGGTCTCGAAAGTACCTTGAAAGCAGGTTCCTGGAGCAGGTGGAAGACGTCCTACGGAGAAACCCCGCGGAGGCGCTTGTTGGTGGTGTTCCCTCAATGCTCAACAAGATCCGAGGCTTCGTGAGAGCAAAGGCTGCATTCAAGGAGCTTGGCGCAGACACTGAGCTATTCCAACGGATAGGCGAAGCTGGTGAAGAGTTTCCCTGGATCATCATATTCTTCCTCCTGAAGGGTGGTCTGCTTACCGAGGCTGCTGAATATGTACGAGAGAAGAGGAACTTCTTCCAGAACACCGATCGAAACTTCCAGGCGGCGATATCCCAATACGCCAGCGATCCGGACCGAAGACTGAACCCCGATACGCAACAGAAGGTCGCTCACACACATGCCCAGAGGACCCGCTTGAAGACGCCAGAGGACCCTTACCGACTGGCTTGCTACAAGATCGTTGGTCGATGTGATATGAGCAAGCGCAACCTGGAGCCGATCAGGGAGAATATGGACGACTGGGTATGGCTGCAGTTCAACCTGGCTCGCGAAGGCAACCGCGCTGAGGAGAACGCCGGTGAGATCTTTGGCCTGGAGGAACTGAGAACAGTAATCAAAGACATCGGCCAGCGCCACTTCATGAACGACGACGCTGAATCATCGGGCGGCTATGGAGTTTACTTCTATCTCGCCACACTGGCTGGCCTGTTCGAGCCAGCTATCAACTACCTGTACACCCACAACTACGTCTCGGCGGTTCATTTCGCAGTCGCTCTGGACTACTACGGCCTCATCCGTGTGTCGGACTGGACGACTGCAGGTGGAGAGATCATGACCTTCACTACGCGACAACAACCACAGCTCAACTTTGGACGCATCGTCGGCCACTACACAAGCGACTTCCGTGCTGCACGAGCTGATGCTGCGGCCGACTACTTGGTGCTGATCTGCATGAATGCGGATCTACCAGGTGAAGCAGGCCGACAACAGGCAGAGCTTTGCCATGAAGCTCTTCGCGAACTTGTTCTTGAGACACGCGAATTCTCTACCTTGTTGGGTGACGTCAAATCCAACGGCGAGACGACACCAGGTCTCATCCAGGAACGCGTGCCTTTGCTCAAGCTGGACGGCGAGATGGGCTTGTTGAACACCATTACCAGCGAAGCCGCGAGGATGGCAGACGACAATGGACGCATCAACGACGCCATTCTACTCTGCCATCTTGCCGGCGAGTACGACAGTGTCGTAACGATCCTGAACCGCGCGCTGGCTGAGGCACTATCTGTAGAACTCGGTCAAGAGCCTCTCCGTCTAGAGCCGTTGAAGCCGCGTCTGACAGCTGCGGAGTCACAACAGCAGCAACAGCAACGAACTGATCTGACTTCGTCGAGTTTGAGCATGCTAGGAACAGACGATCCTGTCGAGCTCGCGCAGAAGGTCCTTGCGTTGTATGACGCGAACAGCCTGTGGTGGAGGAAGGTGTCGCAGATGAACCGCGACACAGTTGGAATATTATTCCAGCTCAACAATGCGAAGAAGATCATCGAAGCCGGCGACTTCATGGCCGCACTCGGCGTAAGTTTTCACCTCGCTGTCTCTCAAAATCAGTCACTAACATTCCGCAGCAAATCGAAAACCTCCGCATCCTTCCCCTGTCCGCCAACGGCAATGTCAGCGACATCCGTGCCACCGCCAACAGCTTCAACTCATACCCACAAGAAATCTCGCGCAACATTGGCAACGTCCTTCTCTGGTGCATTGGCTGCTGCTCGAGACATCGTGAGCGTCTTCTGTCCGGACAGTTCGAGGACAAGATGCGCAAGGTTCTCGCTGATCAGCTGCTGCAAAAGGCAAAGGACCTCATGGTCTTTGCTGGATTGATCAAGTACAAGCTGCCACCGAGGGTCTTTGAGACGCTGGCAAGGGAAGGTCAAGAAGTCGGAGCTTTCTAGAGCTAGTAATGATAGATGTCAATTGGTTGGAGTCTTTGGATTTGGCAAGGCTGTAATAGCGTGTGCTTGCAAGCGCTTGGGTTCGTGAGGAAAAGGTGATTGAGCATCTGCACAGCGATTGGGCACGTTTGGTTCGACATAGAGTGATACCAATAAATCATTGTAATTCCTACCCGCACCAGTGATCACCATTCGAGGACACCTTTGCCGGAAGAGGCCGCGTGGGGTGATGGCTAAAAAGAACATGTCACAGTAGTCGTACGGTGACCGTGGCGCAGGCAATGTCTCGCCATCTTGGCCATTGTTGGCATGCAACCGACACCAATTCAAGCAACGA